AGTTTTATCGCTCTGCGATTTTGCAGTTTTTACTTTCCGGACGGTTAATTTTTGATAAACCACTATCTGAATCTCCAATAGAAGAGAAGGAGAATTCTCAACTTTTTCGAATTTTGTTCTAAATTGCATGAGAAAGATTTGTGTAATGTTTTATGATGCTACAATTATCTAGACCTCACTTTCAGGTTAGCTAATTTTTGATATAGGTACCGCTCTCTGGCTCTCCAAAGTGAGTCCTCAATTTTGTAATAAGCTAATAAGTTGTTCTTAGTTATTTTGGCAACGTTTTTGCAAAGTTGCAAAATTTCGTTTTTAAAATTATCCCTTTCTCAATCTAGTGAACAACTAGAAAAAATGTGTATAATTTATGTTTTAGAATTATTTTAGACATTCAACTAATCTACTTAGGAACTCGAACGATAAAATATAGTCGACGCACAATGAAAAAAACTACTTGGAAGTTCATTTTCGTATATACCCACAATGTAATTATAGATTTTGAACATGGATTTTAGTAATTTATTTTAGTAGACATTATGTCACTTAACATTCTGACATATCAAATCACGTTGAGTTTAACGTTGTTAATAAGATTGTTTTCAAGAACACAAAAGAAAAGATATTACGTACAAGCTCACTCACTGCTCAATCCTAACTGACGGTGATTATCGGCAATAATTACACAGTCGAACAATTTTAGAAAAAATTCTTGTTACAAACATTCTGAAAATGTATTCTGAAAGGTTATTTTGTGGAGAATAACTATCTAATAAGACATTATGCCTACGTCGTCAAAAACTTTTTTGTTCATAGACAGTTCCAGTTAAAGGTGTACTATTGCATAATGGGAATAAATATGTAGTATTGCCGACTGCATACTCCATACAAACTGCAGAAACATATGAGAATATTTAACACTTGTTAAACTGTATTAACGACAAAAAGTTTGAGTGCAATTTGATAGACGATTTAAAAATTTTAGCTTTAGTAACTGGCTTCCTATCTGGATATACCAAGCATATGTGCTTTTTATGCAAGTGAAATACAGGAGAGAAAGCATTTCAACATCTGAAAACAATATTTCCTAAGCTTTCTGCTGCTAACATAGACCTAGGTAAAAACTAAAATACTACAGTGAATTTCAGTTTTCATATTATGTACGTTTTCTATATTTAGGAATTTTCATTGGACCTGAAATTCGAATGAACTATCAAATGTTCTACGCCTATTTGAATGATACGGAAAAAATTGGAATCAATTAGCTTAGTGATCAGTGAATCTTTAGGAAACAAATGTTCCACAAATTATGTCTCATTTAAATTTCTTTGCTGATAATTTTTCATCGAGAAATCAAGAAAGTCGAAGAAAGAGTTAAGAGAAAGACCCAAGTAAGTATCCATTCTTTCCGAATACATGAGGCTTTGATAAAGAGTTAGATCCTTCTACATATTCTAGGCAGGTTAAATGTTCGTAGACGTAATTACATATCTGTCGACAGAAATCTGTGGAACATTTTTTTAGTGCTTCTTGCGCGTTTTTCTATGTAAAATTAGAATTTACTTCATTTTTACTAATGGTTCACCGGACGACAATAAAAATTTGAATAATTTTTTTTTGACGACGTGGGTATATTATCTCTTTTAAGAGTTGTTCAGCAAAAAATTACCTTTCCGACCATGTTTAGAAAATATCTGTAACAAAAACACTGTTCTACTATGTTATCATTAATCCAAACTGTTGGCGGGAAAATATATCTTATCTGTGACTAATAACCTAAAAAAGGTGAAATTACTAGTATTCCATTACAATATAAAAGTAATTTTTTTCTTGGTTTTTTCATTGTGGGTTGACTTTATCAGGACTTATTTTTTGACGTACGTTTAGTTATTGAAAAAAACATTTGGTATTGAGTAGTCTAGCGTCACGAACAGAAAATGCTGGACCGGTCAACGCCATTCCATTGTCACAAAGTGTAAAACACCTTTAAGTATTGTAACTTCTTTTTGCATTTTTGTCACGGCGAGTATACTGGCACTGGATGCGACAAGATAATTCTTTTAAACTTCAAATATCGAAGTGGCAATAAGGCATAGACTACATCAAAATTTTCAAAATGACAAAAAAATATTTTTATACTCACTTTTTCCCATTATTTCACTAATTTTTTAACAATATCATTCTAAAAATATCAAATGATCAACCGAGTGATTAAATGGTGTCTTAGGTACTTCATAATTATCTTAAGTCACAGTGTCGGTTAAGAAGATTTTTATTGTTTTGATTTTTTGCGTGACTTGATAATTTAGATACATATTTGGCATCAAAAAAAAAGCTATTTTAAAATTGTAACATAGTTGTTTGTCATATACTTCTTTATAAATATGTACTTAATTACTTTATTATAATAGATATAAAGTCTACTACATTTATGATTATCGCGAAGAATATCGCGACAGTCATTTTTGTGAGAAAGAGCAAGTGTTTATGTTACGTTGCCATGACAATGTTCATGACCAAACAACGATTATTAAAAAAAGAAAAATAACTCGTAAGTATTTTCAAAGATTTTTTATCAACACTGTACAATTTATACTTTAAACTGTCTTAGAGCCGGAACTAATTTTAGTACTAAATTGTACGCGAGAAATTAGAACCAGTTCTAAATTCTTGTATACAAGCAATTTAGTACGAAAATTGGTTCCGTGTCAAACGGCTCTTAGAGATAAGTCACTCTTGAACAAGCTGAACTCAACTCTTGTAGCCATTCCGGATAGTACCTATACACAAAAAGGACGGCAGTCTGACAAAGAGGCAAGAGGTTAGTGAAGGAAGCTTGGAAGGGTACAGAGGTAGGGGGTACTATCGACGGAGAGGAAACAGAAACAAGGAAGCTGGAAGGGGTGATGAAATGGCAGGGGTGCAACAAGGGATATATACAGGAATAGAGAAGGTTACAAGGGCAGGGAAGGAAATAGAGGCAGGAGAGAATACTTAGATCGGGAGCAAAGTAGAACCGCAGCGACAAATGAAATGAGGGTGTACGCTAGCACATTTAACGTTACTGTATACCACCATTTTTAAAGAAGATTTTTAATTCTGCTTTTTATGTGTGTGTTTAATTTGTGTTGTGTTATTTTGCATTATTAAATAAGTACATTGAAATCAAACTAATTTTTTATTATTGTATTTAATTAACTCGGAATTGCCTATTTTAACGACACTGAACCATGAGAATAGTCGTTTTTCTCAGGTAAATCTTTAATAGGGGAGAAAAACACGATATGAATACATCTGTGGGATTATGGCAATACGGAACACATCTATTTCAAAAATATAACTATCTTTCTGGAAACATTAATTGTAAAACTAACTATTAATAGAAAATAATTATGTATTTGACGTAAAGAAAAATTGAAGTATTTTATCTACCGTTGTTAAAGTGTTATTTTATGTACCCTTGCAGTTTTGAATAAAATAAAGCACTCTTTAACGTTTGCTACAGAAAAAAACCTTCTTAGGCTTAATTCTTGTTTTAGAGAGTGTAGATTTGAACTATTTAAATGTGTAAAAGAATGCAAAATTTTTACATCACAGAAAAGGAATGAAATATTATGTTTTGTAAAAAAAGCATAATTATTATGTCATTTCATTATTTATAATGAAATACAAACACTGGTTTTTTGTATGGAAAGATTGTGTCGAAGATGGCAAATATATATGTATGTATATATCTTATTATTATGTACCATACTTTAAATAAAACACGATCAAAAAAAGGCATGGACTTTTGACTGTTTGTCTGTAATCCTTGCATTTGCAATTCAAGCATTTAAATTGATGGTAATGTGTTGAATATTCTACTAAAAACAAATCTTCAAAAATCCTGGCTATCTTTGATTGTTTTATTGCTCTCTTGGTACTTTAAAATCTTAGTTAATCAGTACCACGATAAAGTAAATTCTTACAAATAAAAGTCATATGGTGGGTATAAAATATTGGATTTTTGCTACTGACTGTAGGTTTTAATACTGGAGTAAAAAATATATTTCAAGATTGTGGCGTTGCATGATCCGGCTCGAAGGACCAAAATGTAGCATCGCGCCGTGATGCGACTCAAAAGAACATAATGTTGCGCCGTGATTCGACTCCTAGGACCAAATGTAGCTTCACGCCATCGTAATCGTAAATAAAAGAGTGGATTTTCTTATCATAATCACTACATTAATAATAAGTATGTAAACACAAGTCACAAATATATATTTGAATCGTCGCGCCCATATCGCTGTCGCGTACGGTACCCTTTCCAATCATGCTTGCCCTGTATACTGGAGATAGCGCCCTCCATCCAGTAGGTGGTCGGGTGGGGTGAGTACCTTGAGCGTAAAGTCCCTATATATATATGTTAACAAATACAAGAAATAAATGAATCTTTGTCAGAATAAACCATATTCAAAACAAATGAGCTTGGTTGAAGTAAAAAAGCAACAGTGTTAAAACTTTACCAGAAGATGTTAATGAAAAAGTGTCAATAACGGCAATCAAGGGGGGCAACTCAGGTTTGTATTGTTTCTTGTTGTTTTAACACCACTTACTAGGCATATCAGTAATAATAAGATCTTTAAATTCCTGTATTTTCAAGCAGTCTAAAAACTGTTAAAAAGCCTGAAGGAATTCTTCTGGGCTCTATACATTTATTAAATTAACTTTCAATATTATCTTTTTCGGGTTCACGAATGAATTTAATCCTCAAATTAAGACCCAAATATCGAGTACAGCTTATCGCACCGCACTTTTTTTCATTTCATCACCATTACATGCAGATATTTTAACATTGCAGAATGTTATGCTATTTTCTTGTGAATTAAAATCACGAGACAGTCTGTACATGCTCTATTTTCTAATTTCAATAACCCTTCCCAACTGCTAGTATCTATTCTAAAAATTTGTTGTTTTTTTTCCTGGGCCGAAAACTAGGCCTTATCGTATAGGGTCCTTTATAGGGATATTGTTGATAAGCTTGACGATAATACAATTTTGTTTGTCATTGGTGATCACGGAATGACTGAAACTGGTAATCATGGAGGGGACGCTGAGGATGAAATAACTTCAGCTTTCTTTATGTACTCTAAACAATTATTGTCGTCGGTACAAAACCACTCAACAGTGGTGAGACAAATTAGCATTGTGCCTACTATGGCAGCCATATTCGGCGTGTCTGTGCCCTTTTCCAACCTAGGAACTATTATTCTGGATGCCCTTCCAGTCATGAACAACTCATACATCCAGGAATGGCAGTTCTCTCTTTTTTACCTATGGGGAAACGTTCAACAAATGATGAATTACATTGAAGATTATGCGCAGACGTCTCCAGGCACGTTCAGCGATTCTGAGCTCAAAGGACTGCGAGCAAAATACGCGATCTTAAACAGCAAACTTTTTGCCGTTGATCATACAAATCTTGACGATTTTGCCGAAAGCGCGGTAAATTTTTTGACAAACTTGAGAGAAACGTGTGAGAAAGTATGGATTCAGTTTGATTCTTTTTCGATGACGCGTGGTCTTTTGTTTCTGTTTCTTTCGTTATTTTTCGTTTATATGATTACAGATGGTATCCCGAGTAATCGTATACCCGAGATTTTCATGAGTTCGTTTTTAACATGTTCTTACTCAGTGCTATTTTTAGCCACTTGTGTCTCAATTATTCTTTATCATTTTAATTTTGTTGATCATTTAATTTCAACTATATTTTTCTCAACGGGATTAGTATCTCAGATTATGTTAGTAATGTTAGTGATACAAAACTGGGAGTTGATTTCGTTGAATTGGTACGACCGCAGCAGACGAGAGAAAATTTTGAACCTAGTTTGTCGCTTAGTTTTAATATTTCATTTAGGCGGTCTGTTTTCTAACAGTTTCGTCGTTGAAGAATCATCAGTACTACTATTTCTCTTGGCTACTGTGATTTTAATTGGTAGTTTGAATGTATGTCAAAGCGAAGCGAAGAAAAAGAATATCAGAATTCGGTGGAAATTGTTGATGATCGCGTTTGGAATGTTAATTCTAGTGAGAATTTCTATGTACTTTTGGCGATGTCGCGATCGACTTGAACAACCCTGGTGTTACGAAACATACAACACTTTCACTGCTAAAACTGAAACGACTAAACTCCAGTGGATAATTACGGTTATAACGTTGGCTCTATTCGTTACTATCACGAAAGGATGGTTACGAAATTGCGGAAATCTCAACGGATACAAATTTACGGTGATTTTGTTAAAGTACGCACCAACGGTTTTGGTGGTTTGTACAAGTGGTTATTGGGTGTTGAGCAGATTACCGATTGATGGAAGGAACAAATCATTTAGGCCATGGCAAGCTAATCTGTTAGCTTGGATTGTCTACGGCGTGTCGTCAGTAGGAATACTAACAATGATTATAAAACCTCTTTGCGTTTACATCTTACCAAGCAACGATGCTTCCAATGACGCGGAAAGTAACGCAATCCCGCATTTGTTCCACAAAGTTAAGAGATTGTTCAATGAACCAAACAAGGAGGATATTCCAGTTCTGTGCGGTCTCGGTACTGCATACAGTGCCGTTTTTGTCGCAATCGGAATATATTTAACCCACTTGTTTGCTCTTCTACACGGAGATGCAGCCGCTTCATCCACCGTTATTATGTTTCTAGCATCAGCATTTGTTCTCATAATCACATCAATAATAAGATTGGAGAAAGCCACAACTGTTGGTAAGATTTCATAGTTAGATACGTACTACATACAATAGTTGACATAAATTGTTCCAGAACAATTGTTTGATATTCCAAACATGTCACTCCTAGTTTGGGTGATACTAGCGCAGTATTTCTTCTACGGCACGGGACATCAACCCTCCTTCCCGAATATAATCTGGGATGCAGCGTTTGTAGGTACCACAGGAGTATTTAAACACAACTTTATCCCCGGCTCTCTAATCATCATTAATACATTTTGTTCCCAAATACTAATGGGTTTTTTAATGCCTCTGCATCTAATCGTTCCTTTCACCATTTCTGTTATGTTACCGTCAATTACTAGCAAAAATGTCCTGGAAAAAGAAAATTTGCGCGGAGAGGTGCTTTTGTACGAACGTAATGGTTTGATGCTTACTGTAGCGTTTACGACGTCTTGTAAATATATGATCTGTCACGCAATTCGGGTATGTTTTATATTTGTGTTTGTATTATTTGTATTTGTACGTGTGTTGCAGGTGTTCGCTACCATGTTGGCGGCTACCATTCACTGCCGTCACATGATGATTTGGAAGATATTTGCCCCTAAGTTAATTTTTGAGTCAGTTGGAATGTTCGTCACTTTGGCAACGGTTAATATAAGTTATTTGGTATTGCTTAGAGTGAATTCGAAAATAGACGAATTTGTAACGTCTTTGAATAAGAGATATAAGTGATAGTGTCAGTTTGTTTTTTTTTATGTAAATAATTTTCTACTTAGTTCTATTTATGTGTGTGTGTAAAAATATTGTAATTAAATTAAAATTCGAAACTATTATTTTTGTTGTGAGTATTAACGACGTGTGTTTCTTGTTGTCGAAATAAGTCTACACATATTAAGAAAAACAAGGCAAAATGTAGCCCCGCCCACCCACCCTATCGCAATTGTGATGAATTTTTTATTCGTTGTCAGATCGAAGGGCGGGGCTTAATTGCAAGATCCGTATTTGTCTACAAGAATTTACCATTTTAAACATGTTTTATGTTTCTTGTTCTGGAAAGACGACTACGTATGTTAAGACAAAAGGCAAAATATAAGCCCCGCCCACCCACCCTATCTTTATTCTGATGATTTTTTTTATTCGTCGTAAGCCGAGGGGCGGAAATTAATTGCAAAATCTTTATTATTTCTCTACTAGAAATTATCGTGAAAGACATGTTTTTGAGTATCGTGTTATTCAAAGAATACTACGTATATTAAGAAAAAATGAAATTAATAAATTCTAGAAATCGTACAAGTTTGAGTCCAGCGGATTCCAGCCATACTACAGATTTTAAAGATTATATAGTTTTTAGAGATTTTCGAGTATCTGGAGATTCTGGAGATACTAAAGAATGTGGACACTCTAAAAATGGTAAAAATTACAAAGATTCCAAAAGTTCTAGGGATTCTAAGTATCCTAGAGACCCTAAAAGTTCTTTAGATTCTGAAGATTTTAGCGATTCTAAAGATTCCAGACGTTTCAAAGATACGTACTAGAAATTCCATAGGATTTACAGATTCAGGGTTTCCGGAGATTCCAAAGATTCTAGAAATTCAAACAATTATACAGATATTCTAGAAATTGTACAAGATGTAGAGCCTAGCGATTGCAGCCATTCTAGAGATTCTGGAAATTCTGGAAATACTAAAAGTTGTAGACTCTTTAAAAATTGTGAAAATTCTAAGAATTCTAAAAATTCCAAAGATTTCAAAAGTTTTAGATTATAAATATCCTAGAAACCCTAAAAATTCGTTACATTCTGAAGATTTAGAGATTCCAGAGTTTCCAGTCTCTAAAGATTCTAGAGATTCAAAATATTCTAGTAATTATAAAAATTATGCAGAATCTAGAAATTCTAGAAATTGTACAAGTTTTAGAGTCTAACAATTCTAGAAATTCTACAGGTTCGAAAAATTCGAAGGATTCTATAGATTCTAGAGTTTTTAGAGATTCTCGAGGATCTGGAGATTCTGGAGATACTAAAGATTGTTGACACTCCAAAAATTCCTAAAGTTCTAGGGATTCTGAGTATTCTAGAGACTCTAAAGATTCTAGAAATTCCATAAGATTTACATATTCAGGGTTTCCAGAGATTCCAAAGATTAGAGAAATTCAAACAATTATACAGAATCTAGAAATTCTAGAAATTGTACAAGATGTAGAGCCTAGCGGTTGCAGCCATTCTAGAGATTCCGGAAATTCTGGAAGTACTGAAAGTTGTAGACACTTTAAAAATTGTGAAAATTCTAAAAATTCCGAAGATTTCAAAAGTTTTAGATTCTAAATATCCTAGTAATTATAAAAATTATGCAGAATCTAGAAATTCCAGAAATTGTACAAGTTTTAGAGTCTCACCATTCTAGAAATTCTACAGGTTCGAAAAATTCGAAGGATTCTATAGATTCTATAGTTTTTAGAGATTCTAAAGGTTCTGGAGATTCTGGATAAACTAAAGATTGTGGACACTCTAAAAATCGTAAATTTTTTTAAAATTTCAAAGATTCCAAAAGTTCTGGGGATTCTAAGTATCTTAGAGACCCTAACAATTCTTTAGATTCTGAAGATTTTAGAGATTCTAAAGATTCCACACATTTTAAAGATTCTAGAAATTCCATTGGATTTACAGATTCAGTGTTTTCACAGATTCCAAAGATTCTAGAAATTCAAAAAATTATACAGAATTTAGAAATTCTAGAAATTGTAGAAGATGTAGAGCCTAGCGTTTGCAGCCATTCTAGAGATTCTGGAAATACTAAAAATTGTAGACACTCTAAAAATTCAGAAAATCCTAAAGATTTCAAAAGTTTTAGATTCTAAGTATCCTAGAGAGCTTAAAAATTCGTTACATTCTGAAGATTTTAGAGAATCCAACGTTTCTAATCTCTCTAAAGATTCTAGTAATTAAAAAAATTATGCAAAATCTAGAAATTGTACAAGTTTTAGAGTCTAGCCATTCTAGAAATTCTATGGGTTCGAAAAATTCGAAGGATTCTATAAATTCTAGAATTTTTAGAGATTCTCGAGGATCTGGAGATTCTGGAGATCCTAAAGATTGTTGACACTCTAAAAACTGTAAAAAAATTTAAAATTCCTAAAGTTCTAAGGATTCTGAGTATTCTAGAGACCCTAAAAATTCTTTAGATTCTGAAGATTTTAGAGATTCTAAAGATTCCAGATGTTCTAAAGATACTAGAAGTTCCATAGGATTTACAGATTCAGTGTTTCCAGAGATTCCAAAGATTCTAGAAATTCAAAAAATTATACAGAAGCTAGAAATTCTAGAAATTATACAGGCTCGAAAAAAAAACGATTCTATAGTTTCTAGAGTTTTTAGAGATTCTCGAGGATCTGGAGATTCTGGAGATACTAAAGATTGTTGACACTCTAAAAATTGTAAACAATTTAAAAATTCCAAATGTCCTAGGTATTCTGAGTATTCTACAGACCCTAAAAATTTTTTAGATTCTGAAAATTTTAGAGATTCTAAAGATTCCATTTGTTCTAAAGATACTAGAAATTCCATAGGTTTTACAGATTCAGTGTTTCCAGAGATTCCAAAGATCCTAGAAATTAAAAAAATTATACAGAAGCTAGAAATTCTACAGGTTCGAAAAATTCGAAGGATTCTATAGATTCTAGAGTTTTTAGAGATTCTAAAGGTTCTGGAGATTCTGGATAAACTAAAGATTGTGGACACTCTAAAAATCGTAAAATTTTTTAAAATTTCAAAGATTCCAAAAGTTCTGGGGATTCTAAGTATCTTAGAGACCCTAACAATTCATTAGATTCTGAAGATTTTAGAGATTCTAAAGATTCCACACATTTTAAAGATACTAGAAATTCCATAGGATTTACAGATTCAGTGTTTTCAGAGATTCCAAAGATTCTAGAAATTCAAAAAATTATACAGAATTTAGAAATTCTAGAAATTGTAGAAGATGTAGAGCCTAGCGTTTGCAACCATTCTAGAGATTCTGGAAATACTAAAAATTGTAGACACTCTAAAAATTGTAAAAATTCAGAAAATCCCAAAGATTTCAAAAGTTTTAGATTCTAAGTATCCTAGAGAGCTTAAAAATTCGTTACATTCTGAAGATTTTAGAGAATCCAACGTTTCCAATCTCTCTAAAGATTCTAGTAATTAAAAAAATTATGCAAAATCTAGAAATTGTACAAGTTTTAGAGTCTAGCCATTCTAGAAATTCTATTGGTTCGAAAAATTCGAAGGATTCTATAAATTCTAGAATTTTTAGAGATTCTCGAAGATCTGGAGATTCTGGAGATCCTAAAGATTGTTGACACTCTAAAAACTGTAAAAAAAATTAAAATTCCTAAAGTTCTAAGGATTCTGAGTATTCTAGAGACCCTAAAAATTCTTTAGATTCTGAAGATTTTAGAGATTCTAAAGATTCCAGATGTTCTAAAGATACTAGAAATTCCATAGGATTTACAGATTCGGTGTTTCCAGAGATTCCAAAGATTCTAGAAATTCAAAAAATTATACAGAAGCTAGAGATTCTAGAAATTGTACAAGTTATAGAGTCTAGCCATTCTAGAAATTATACAGGTTCGAAAAAAAAAAACGATTCTATATCCGTCGTTTGATATGTGGGATTTGGATACGGTGGATTATGGGGTTAATTCACACATTTATCGTGAACTGGAACAAAATGATTGGGATTTTTTAATTGCGCATTATTTGGGGGTGGATCATTGTGGACATCGGTATGGACCCAATCATCCGGAAATGGAGCGAAAATTGACTGAAATGAATGGTGTGATAGAGTAAGCGCTTTCTAAGAATTTAATAATATAAAGTAATAACAAATTTATAGGGATATTGTTGATAAGCTTGACGATAATACAATTTTGTTTGTCATTGGTGATCACGGAATGACTGAAACTGGTAATCATGGTGGGGACGCTGAGGATGAAATAACATCAGCTTTCTTTATGTATTCTAAACAATTACTGTCCTCAGTTCAAAACCACTCAACTGTGGTGAGACAAATCAGCATTGTGCCTACTATGGCAGCCATATTTGGCGTGTCTGTGCCCTTTTCCAATCTAGGAACTATTATTCTGGATGCCCTTCCAGTCATGAACAACTCGTACATCCAGGAATGGCAGTTATCCCTTTTTTACCTATGGGGAAACGTCCAACAAATGATGAATTACATTGAAGATTATGCGCAGACGTCTCCAGGCACGTTCAGCGATTCTGAGCTGAAAGGGCTGCGAGCAAAATACGCAATTTTAAATAGCAAACTTTTTGCCGTTGATCATACAAATCTTGACGATTTTGCCGAAAGCGCGGTAAATTTTTTAACAAACTTGAGAGAAACGTGTGAGAAAGTATGGATTCAGTTTGATTCTTTTTCGATGACGCGTGGTCTTTTGTTTCTGTTTCTTTCGTTATTTTTTGTTTATATGATTACAGATGGTATCCCGAGTAATCGTATACCCGAGATTTTCATGAGTTCGTTTTTAACATGTTCTACTCAGTACTATTTTTAGCCACTTGTGTCTCAATCATTCTTTATCATTTTAATTTTGTTGATCATTTGATTTCAACTATATTTTTCTCAACGGGATTAGTATCTCAGATTATGTTAGTAATGTTGGTGATACAAAACTGGGAGTTGATTTCGTTGAATTGGTACGACCGCAGCAGACGAGAGAAAATTTTGAACCTAGTTTGTCGCTTAGTTTTAATATTCCATTTAGGCGGTCTGTTTTCTAACAGTTTCGTCGTTGAAGAATCATCAGTACTACTATTT